TTTTTAATAGTTTTTTCTCTTCTGATTGTAATTTTATTGTTTTATATTGTTTTAGAGATAGCATTGAGAGCATTTCTTTTGAAAGGGGGCGTTAATGTCCATTACCTCCCCAGTCAGTTTCGTAGTGTGCTGTGTTCAATTCGTAGAAACCTAGATTTTCGTTTCTTCCTCTGGGTACAATTAAAGATCTACCAGTTGGGATATTGAAATATTGCGAACGTTAACTAACTTAGTGCAATATAATAAAGGAGTTAGCTCCGCTTTAAAGATAAGCTTGAAAAGGGTTTCATCCACACAGAAATTGTGGGGGAATGCGAGGCTATGGACATATTTGTAGACGAGTATATTCGAACATACTCAAATTTTCCGAGTTAATGTTTCTACTTTGAAGTTACCACGTTTTCAAGAGAACAAGTGTCAATATTCTTGTTTCTTTCAAGAGTTATATGCGTTCTACTTTCTTTTCCTTGGTGATAATCATATGTAAGGCTTCCTTTTAGATGTATGACTGATGTCGTTAGTAGAAGATTTAAACATACTAATGAAGAATTTTTAAAAGGTTTAGAGAACATTTTTAAAAAGTGGTCATGTACCGCCCTCTTTAAAACAGCTCCAGAAAATAGAAAATTTTTTAAAGGTATTACTTTTATTTCAGTTGTATACTCAAAAGGAGCTACTATATATGAAGAAAGAGAAAAATTGTATAAAGAAATCAAGATGCTTGAGGAGAGGCCTAAAAGGATAGTTAAGGTTAAACAGGTTTTAAAGAAATGATGCGTTGATGCAAGATCTCCTAAAGCATAAAGGAAAATTTAGTGTATTTCAAGCTACTTGACATTGTTTTTAGCTACAACTTTTTTTCTAGCCGGTCCAATATCAATTTTAAAGACGCTGGCAGGAGGATTGAAGCTAATAAAATGTTTAAAATCTAAATTATTGAATGGCATAAACGTTTTTCACCCCAAGAATTTTTATTGAAGCCAGAAATACTTATTTGAATAAGTTGGGTTTGACTCTTGATGTTAATGCCACTCACGCATATTTTAAGCCTTGTTAAAATTGAGTTACAGCTCAACAGAAATGTAATGTAGGCTTTCTCAAGCTGAGGTTATGAACATGAGTTTGACCAAACATTTTTCTTTTTTGAAACATATTTGCGCAGGATAAATTCACCCGAAGATCCTTTGGGAAACGTGCCACTGGGGTAAGACAACCTTATACGCTTTGTAACGCGACTGGATCAAGAGCAAAGATGTGCATGATTGCATCAAAAGAGGAACCTTGAGATATTTTTATGGATTATCAATGTGCTGATAAACTCACTAAAGTTGAAAGTCCGATATTTGATGCTTTAGATAACCCGAATATACTAGAGCCTTTGGCAGGAAGTGGACAACCTTTTTAGATTTTGTTAATGTCTTAATAAAAAGGGTGGTAATATCACCTTGGATAAACAAAATGAAACGTTAGGACACGGCACAGAAGGTTCTGAGAACGGAAGTCGTAAAGTTAACAATTGTAAGTTTTTAGGGATAGCTCCTGAAATGGTTCCTATTGGTAAACTAGTCAGGCCACATAAAAGGATAGAGATTTAATAAAAGAGTTTCGGCTCTTTTACTTTAGGAAAATCTTCAAATTCATTGTCCGGTGCCCGTCGCAGGCCACCTGCAGATTCTTACGAGAAATTTTTAGATTTTTAGTAGCTTTTGGACTTTTAAGAAGGTTGTCGGTTAAACTAAAAAGTATTTTTTGTAGGGGATTCATAAATTTTTTTTTTTTACTTCTTATTTTTTCTAATGGTTGATAGCTTCGTTTATTGTTGGTAGGGGTTTAAGTTAAACTGTGATGGTGAATTCGAACCTTTGTATGCATTTTTTTAGTCCATTCATATATATTTCTTGCTTAAAATAAACGTTAACTCTACCTTTTATTTATTACAATCTATGTTATCAGATATATATTTTATATATACTTCAAACTATAAAATCTTGTAAGGTAGATTTTGCGGCCAAATGAGACGTTTTGTATACTTCCGTTGGTATATTTCTTAGTAGTAGTATAAATAATTTACTAATTGGCTACATTACGTTACTTTGATTTATTTTTTTACTTTGCACTTCAAGCGCCCATGCTATTTAGTACTCTTTACTCTATGACTTTATTATACTTCCTTAGGTGCTCTTCTGTTTATATGTTTTATAGGATCTTTTATATCTAAATAGTTTGTCGTACAAAATCTATATTTTCCAGTGTAATAAGAGCCAAAAAAACTGACGTTACCTTTCAAGTTTTTAATAATTGTTAGTGTTGTTTGCATATTCATAACTTTAAAAAAAAATAAGACTTTTATAACATCTAATTTTTAAGTTCAAATTACTTAGTAAAATAAAATATTATGTTAAATAAAGACTAAGCTAAACCTTCGAAAAGTTCAATTAAATTTATAGGTGTTATAGTAGCTTACAATATACAATTGTTTTGTAAAGTGTAATACACCATAAGTACTAAGAAACTTAAGTTCCTTTCAAACCTAAAAAGAAAAATTCACTTAGGTTACAGTTACCAGATATTTGAAATCCTATAACCACAATTAAATAATTTACCTAATTCTAACTTTAATTATAAAAAAAAGTAAAGAAATAGTATAAACAACTGTAATATTTATATACAAAAATAAGATACAATACAGAAGTTCAGCTTATGATTATTTTTAGTATTAGCTTTATTGGACCATAATAAGGTTTATGTTGCTTTCAGGATATCATTGTGGAAATAGTTTAAAATTTTTTAGTATATAAATAGATTTATAGACTTTCGCTAATTATAAAAATAGTTTATTGATAAGGAGACCTGTCTCCATAAATCATCTGCAGAGGTTAACAAACCATAGGATTGTGCGCCTAATTTTATGTTAAACATTCAAACCTTCAAAACTCCTATCACAACCAACCTTATCCTAGGGAGACCTGAAAAAACCCCTGTTACTAAAGTTGTGCTAGCAATTACCCAAAAAATAAATCATGAATTCAACATCGAATTTAAAGAAGTAAAAGATCTTATTTGTTTCTTAGAGACAATCGCACATATCTATAAAAGATAATTAACATTTATCTAGTTCCAAAAGCGGAAAGATAGTATATATATTATAAACTATATCTTTGACTGTAATAACTCTTATACTTATATGAAACCACACTAATGTGGATGGCGAAATAACATGAAAGGCTAAGCAATTAGTGTTTTTACTGAAGTTTGCTTAATATTGTACTATGTATGTTGACTAATTAATCAAAAAGGAGCTAGGGAAACATATTTATAAGAAAGACACCCTAATGTCAAGAGTTGTGTGGGTTCACGGTTGGTTTTCTAGGAGCTTTCCTTCAAATGTCTATCTTAAGATATCTTTTAATACCACTCTAGTTCATTTAATGAAAAGATTTAATTATGTAACAAATTCATCTAGACGAATTAACGGCATCACCGAATATTCAGCATGTTATAAAACCTGTTGCAAAGCTTTGTATATATAATATTTTTCCAGCATATAGAAAATATGTGCTTTTCTTTCTGAAGCGCAAGTATTTAAGTTTTTATCTATTTTTGAGTTCATAGTATATTCTTTGGTTCCATACTTTCTTCTTTTTACATGGGCTAACTTTTATGGGGACTCGTCTTTATTTCGCCTCGGTTTCGAGATTAACCTTTTGGTAATCAATTGTGTAAACTGCAATCATTTAAAGTGTATTTACATCTAATAGCTGTTTCGGTTTCACCTCTATAGGATACTAACTTTGTGGTTTATTGCATCTTTTTTCTATATAACCCGAACCCATTTCACTTTGCTCTAAAGTGAAAATACTTAAGTTTCTTAGTTTGTGTCCATACCTATGAGACTGGCAAGTTATACTAAGTTTTAAAATTTAATATCTTAACGTTTAAAAAGCAGTAATATTACATGCAAAAAACACCTTTATTAAGATCTAACTACACGAGATGGAAACAATTTCAACTATAACTGAAATATAGACAAAGAGTAATATAAAATGGCAACTCACTAATGGATTACAAGTACCTCGATTTTGACGAAACTCTAAATAAGACAAAAATTTTATTCTTACAACACGAACTCCAGCTAATTATAAATTTTAGTAGCCAACAATTAAAAAAAACGTCTACGAACATAATTTTTATTAAAAAGCGATTGAGCACTAAAATAAATGCAAAATAGAATAAAAAGGTAAACCATTTTGTACAACTTTATACGAAAGCCTATAAGCAGCACCAACCACCCGAATACCTTAACAAGAATCAGGGAAAGCCTGAGAAGCCTATAAAAGTACCTTATAAAAATATAACTATGATAAGCTTACCAAGTACGAAATGTTTCAGGGCTCATGGGCCGTTTAAGAGGAAGCATAGTACTTACCAAGATAAAAATAACGAAAATATAAAATTTTACGACATAAGTTGGCTCTTCAACAATCTTTCTATATAACTAAACACAAAAATTTATAAAAACTGAAAACAAAATATAAATTTTTTAAATGAACTACAGGTACTATTTAAAAAGCTAAGGATACCATCATTGCTATGAAGACAACAAAAAGAAATAGTATATATTATCCCTTTCATGTCAATAGCTACTAACCCTGCTTTATATTACTCAATAATGTTGATCACTAAAGTAATTAATACTAAATGCAAATTTGTATAGGAAGAAAGTGGTAAAGAGTTGAAGACCCATAATTTTTACCCCGGTCCTCAAAAGAGCTTAAAAGTAAATAAATCTTGGTAGAATTCTGCAGCGTACCACATTTTCCACGTGATTTAACTACAACTTCACAACTGAAGAATTCTCAAACGTTATCTTATAGCTTTGATTTTGACAAGCGTTGATTTGCCTTCGTTATAGAAAAGTATATAGTATCCTTTTTCTTATGACTGCTTAATTGTTTTTTTAAAAAGTTGATTACTATTTTTTTTACTCATTAAAGGCATAAAAAACTGAAATATTAAAATGTTGAGGTACTTTAGCTCTTTTTCAAAGCAGCTGTTTATTAAAAGATCTCCTTTACGAGCGACACATTGTTACGAATCTTCAGCTGGTGAGAAATAGCCTTTTTATAAGAAACCTCCATGAATTTTTTTATAGTTATATATATAAATAATATATATTTACTTTTTTTTTGTTTAAAGCTTCTACAGAAGACGAAATTTCTGAAAAAATTTTGGATGTAATGAAAAATTTTGAAAAGCTTAGTAATAAGAAAGTTAGTTTGTATTAAAAAAAATTCGGTTATATATTTAACACATTCACTAGTTTACCTTAAATTCTCATTTTTCCGATGACCTTGGCCTTGATAGCCTGGACACCGTTGAACTACTTGTTAACATAGAGAATAGATTCAATCTAATTATACCAGGTCTTCTAATTTTGAACTTAATATCTTATTTATCTATTTCTTTTTTTTTTAGACGACATTTCAAATAATATTAATACAGGAGAAGACGCTTTAAATTACATAAAAGCAAATATCAATAAAAAATAAAATATCATATTTATTAAGTTTTTACTTTTTATTGAAGATTTTTGGTTCATTTCATTTAATTTTTAGAAAATTTTAAGGAAGCTCACTTACATACTCAAAATTTGTTAATATATCGCAGTATCTTAAATAGTTAGAACTTTATTTTTTTCAACTTTATCTTTTCACAGGGCGCCTCGCTATTAAAAAAAATAAAGAGAAACTAAATTCTCCTACAAAATCCTTTAAAAGCTCCAAAAATATATTTAAGTGACTTTTTAGTTATAAAGCTCTTCACATTTTCTAATAAAGTTGAGTTTGCACAAGATATTTTGTTAAGAAATATATTTTCACAATTAACAAAAATAGAATTTATTTTAGTGAACTATTTTATCAGGAAATTTTTTTTACTATGCAAGGATAGTTTTTTTTTTGAGAGTAGTGTAAAAGCTTTTTTTTTTAAGCAAGGAACACACTACCAAAAAAACTTATACTTATGTGGATTATTGTATAAATCTATATTTCTGTTGACGTTAATATTTTTAAAGCGTTGGGTTGTGAACTTTGTTACCACCAGTTTTTTTAAAATTTTAAAAGTTGCTCTTGTACATGAAGTAATTTAGAGCGACGCTGTGATATTACTCACCACGAATTCTGTTTATTTTAAATATTAATTAAAAAAAACTGCTTATACTCAAAGTTAGAACAGATTAAGAAGTAAATTTTATTGGAAACGGAACACAAAGGAAACTTAAAAAAGTTAGAAACTTAGTAGAGCAATTGGACGAAGTTTATAGTGAAAAAGAAGATATTTATAAATTTATTTGCAATCTAAAGAGCAATATTCATAAACTAAACTAAAGTTTAGTAATATCTTTTTTTAAGTGTATAAAAACCATAAATGCTCAATACTGAGCAAAAAGCTGAAGGTTTTCCTTTATCAAACGAAGGGTACAGAGTAGAAAGAACAGATATAAATAACTCCACTACGATTTTATAAGGACGATATTGATAAATAAATCACTACTTTATTTTAAGCGTGTGGATAAAAGCCCAAATGGAATGTTTATTAAAAATTATATTTTATCTTCATTCTTGAAAAGACACATTGTGCAAGAAAGCCAACCTTCTTTAACTGATAAGAGAAATGTAAAAGTTCTCTTTTTGTAATCACCATTTATAAGTGAAGGAAGTTAAAAAAATAAAAGTTTATATTGTTTGCAAAGACTAACAGAGAAGTTGAATGGTGTACAGAAGAAATAGAAAAGATCTCAACAACTCCACAACTACGATTTTATATGGCCGAAACTAACTAAAAAAACTAATTAAGTAATGTATTCTTTTTTAAGTGTAAAATAAAAGCCTAATTATACCGTTCATTTAAATTAATTTATCTTCAATAATGAAAAGATGCAATATACTGTGCCAAAGAGCAAATAACTTTTTATAAGGATATTTCTTTTTCTTAATTAAGGATTGTAGAAATAATAAATTAACTAATAAAAAAAACCACTTATTTTTTGAAGAGTAATAAAAGAAAACTTTAGGAATGCTTTTCTTTTATTATATTAACTAAATGTTCGTAACTGAGAGAATAAAAGGACAACTAAATTCGTAAAACTGCCGCAATCTTTGTAATTAGTTTAAAAAATACTTGAAAAGTTAATAAATTATTATTAACAAGACAATACAAATTACCTTGAAATGTCAGTGCTTTACTACATTTTTATAAAATGTATAAAGATTAAATAGAAAAAGAGTGCCAAAAAAAAAAAATTGTTTAAATTTTATTTAATATGTTTGGCAAATACTTCATAAGAATATAAATAAAAAGGTCATCACTATTTTTTAAAGTGTTAGTAATATTTGCTTAGACTTAAAAAAAAATAAGAAATTAACTATTAAATTAAAAAAATTAAAAAGAGGAAGAAAAGAATATCAAAATAAAATTTTAAGTGATTTTCAAAGATATTAAATATATTAGTAAAAAATAATATAACGACATTAATTTTATATAATAAGGATAAACAACGATTAGAAGCATACTTAATAATATAAAAATAATTAAAATTTAAGAATTTAAAAAAAAAATTATATAAAAAGATTTTAAAACGGACTAGAATTTTATATAAAAAATGCAAAAAGTTACAAAATTTATAATTTTTCTTATTAAATAAGAATTTTCATATATAAAAATAGACAAGGATTTAAATATGTAAAAAAGTTAATGTCAAAGCTTACTTTCATTACTTACCTTGATTTACTTTAGCATTTAATATTATTAGAATAAAAAGATTTACAGACGCAAAAAAAAAGAGATTATAGGATTTAAAAACTACATAAATTACACAAAAGATTTATAAAAGATTACAAATAATCTTTAAAAGTTAAACGAAGTAGTTAAAAAGAAAGATTTATAGATTTATTTAACTATAAGCAAACTTTTTTAATAATTATAAAAACAAAGTAAATAAACACATTTGATAGCATAATAATTCTTTAAGTAAAAGCATAACTATTTAATTAAGTAATAAAAATGGAAAAATAATAATAAAAATTATTACAACTAACTATATACTATAATATTTTTAAAATTAAAATATTTTTATTATAATAAAAAGAATTTTAAAAAGATTTATAATTTACGAATAAAAAAACTCTAAAAATATTTAATATACTATAAAAATAAAAATAGAATAAATAATATAAAATAAACTCTTAAAATAATAAACTTTTATTATAATATTACATTTTTGAGAGTAAATGCAAAATATATGAAAATAAGAAGAAGAGCGAAACAAATAAGTTCGGTTGTATGAAAAATATTAAAAATTATAATAATATAACAACATTGTTATGAGGAAAAGCAAAATATTAATATTATTATATACAGAAATAAATAGAATAGATGATATAGCATACAATAAACTTAACATAATATTTTCCCAAGTGAAAGAAAAAAAATTGAAATATAATAGATAATAAATAATAATATAGTACGAATTAAAATTTAAAAATTACGTTATACACTAATAATATTATTACAAGAAAAAGCATAAATGTTTATATCAAAATAATAAATCCTAAAAAAAATTGTCTTTAGACACGATATTTTTCTATTATATATAAACTTCATTTTTAAGGTTCATTTTCTTTTTAAATGCTCAAAAAACTATGATACGCTTTGCTAATTTAAGAGGCATAGATATAATATACTTCCGCCTAAACGAAAAAGCAAAATCTAGATTATTATTTCAAATAAAATTAAATTAACATAAATATAAAATATAAATAAGAAAAAAAAATTTTTTTAAAGTGCAATTTCAATGAAAAAGATTATAGAAAACTTTTGTTTATTAATTTAAAGGCTAGAAGAGTAACAAAAATTATTTAGATAAATATAAAGTGAAAGATGGATATATTATTTTTTTAATTGTAAGTATACATGATTAAAATCATAACGTATTAATAAATTCGGAGGCCAAAGACAGTACAAATAACTTGATTCTAATAAAAATTAAGCCTAAAAGAAAGATATCAAGAAGTGTTTTTTTATGAAATTACTTGTTGAATTTCTTACAATTGTATAAATAGTAACTTTCTATAATTAAACTAAATTTAAACTTTTTATAAACAGATATTAAATGATTTTAAAACTAAGATATACAAAACTATTAAAAAAAATTTGTATATAGTAGAAGGGATTGTAATAAATTTAACAAATAAAACAATTGGTGAAACAGATTTTGGAGAACTAAGCAAGGTAAATAACAAATACAAAAAAATTCGTAATGATGTTTAACATTTATCTTAGTCAAACAAAAGTAAAAAGAATGAAAAATAAAATGGTGTAAAAAACTATAAAATTTAAAGACTATAAAATGTCAGAGCCTTGACTAACCCAAAAACAACGAAGTCCCGTTTTATATTGATAATTATGAAATTGTTTCTTATAATACCACCCAACAAAAAACTGAGTGTTTTTAAAACAAGGAGCCAAAAAAAAAAACATAACTTTCCAATACGAAGCCTATACAAATGAGAACGTACAGGCGACAACTTAAACCAAACAAAGGATGACGAGCGAAAATCCGAAAGCTCTTTAAATAAGTAGTGGTCAGGAAAGAGTTTTATGAATACAAAACGCCAAGTCTAAACTAATTCACTTCAATGTGCTTTATTTTAGAAAAAACTAAATAAATAAATAAAGGAAAAACTTTTACATTTTTTTATTAAATAATGGTCAATAAAGTGTTTTACTAATGAATATAAAAAATGCCACTGCATTCTCTCATATATAAAAAAATTTAGACTTTTGAAAGACTACATAACTGCTTAAAGTTTTTAGTAACTTTTATTTATTTAATGAACTCTATTAAAAAATAAAAAAACTTCTTTGAGTTAAAATAATAAGGCTTACACTTAGTTAAATACGAGTCAAAAACATTAATAACGTAAAATTATCAATAAAAGACAAATATAGAAAATAAATATCAACGCCTGACAATAAAAGGGGGAAGCGTTAATTATACGATAAGGCCTTTTTACCTTAATATTAATTATAAGTCCACTTACGAGTAATATTATAAGTTTAAACGGTATATTCACACTAATTGCTCTCAATTAAAACAAACTTCTAAAAGTGACTACAATACACGTGCCATTGTAAAATTTATCCTCATTGTCTAAAGGAAACAGAAAGACAAAAAGTTTAAATATATAAGTAAGCTCAAAACATTCTTTAAAGAAATTTTATTATAGATATAGAAATGACATAGAAAAGTAAAGCACTACTATAGTTATCACTTTTTATTCTCGCAGGAAATAAAATTACATATATTAAGCTCAAAACATGGTTTAGAGATATTTTATTAAAGTAAATAGAGAAGTGACATTCAAAAGTAAAGCAGGTTATGTCATTATTAAACCATGGAAATAACAATGTTAATAGATACAGTTCATGGAAAAGGTAGCCTTCTTTAATTAAACCCAAAAGCATATATGTCAAAGACAAAAATAGTAAAATTTAAAAATAATAGAATCACACAGCAGAATTAAAAAGAGTTAATATTAATCATGCCGAAAGCGAGAAGTAAATGTTATTCTTTATATGTTTATTCGAACAAGTATAGTAACTTTTTATTAAATCTTTAACAGAAAAAATTATACTTAGTATTAGCCTCTATCGTTCTTCATAAACAAACTTATACAATTACATTAATAACTTAAGATCTGACAACAAATTTAGAAAGTAATAAAAATATTTAGTAAACCCCCTAAAAAAGTTATCAACCCCTTTACAGCAAACTATCATTTAGTAATATAATTTTTAATACTCTTTAAGAAAGGATTTGTAATTTAGCCAAAAATTGGCTCGTTAAAAAGTTTTAATATGCGATACTAAATTTTCAATAAACATCTTTTAAAACCTCTTAAAATATAATATAGCTCACTTTATTACGTTAAACCTACTTAAGATCACGCCAAAAAGTAGGCGCCACTTTTAAAAGGTGGAGAAAGCCATTTTGTTAACGTATTGCAGCCTAACACAATACTTTAATGCAACGGGCCGTTAAGCTGGAAACATAAAAGAAAGAAAGTAGGAGAACCTTTAGACCAACTTTAACCCATATTCTGGTTAAAATTTTTACTCTTTTACCACCTCCGAAGAGCATACTCAGCCTATCAATTGATAATTAACAGAGGAGCTCAGTAACTAATCATGGAAGAGGTACGCTATCGCCAACCGCATAATATGTTTTGTTGTATTTATTATAGATATCAGAACAAGAGGTAAATAGATATATTATATTTAAAATTGCTTTTTCACAAGTTATAACTAGTTTGTAAGCTATCATCTTTAGAGAGCTCGGAAATTAATTGTTTTTTTTTTAACTGATTGAGCACCCGAAAATACCATTAAAAAAAAAATTAATAAAAAATAAAAAGGCGGAAGCTGTAACACTCAGTCCTATATTTTCCTATTTTCAAGCCCTTGCCCCCAAATCATTCTGCTTAGTTATTTTTTACTTTTTTACTCTCGTGTATATGTTCACTTGAGCGAACTTGAGTTTTGTTTATTCTCGTCAGGGGCAGTTGTCGTTCCTTAACCTCTATTCTAGTCTGTTCTTGGCACTTTAATTTAGATAAATATATATATATACTATAAATATTGACAATTATCTTTTGATACAACCCCTTTCCACCTTCATAGAAATCTCTCTTAGGTTCGTTACATAGGAGAAGTGTATTCAAACCGCCTGGAGCGTGATTAGGACTGAACGACCATAGGGGTGTTTAAATCCCCACAACAACAAGAAGTGGACGGTTACCTAAAAGGAGCAGAAATCGCTTATAAAGATATCGTCGTCCTTTATTAACCCTTCAACTAATAAGAACGTACTTATACGTTATGCAAATTGCATTATCGGACAGCCTAGAGTTTGTTATATAATTCAATCTTTTTTTAACATGTTAACTCTCAAAGGTAGGGTCTATATTAGGGCCTTCCTCACGCTCGATGAACATAAATCAGGTACGTTCATACCCTTTTAAGCCACCGCCTACATGATGTGTATATATATTCGTACCAAGTGAAGGGTTTAAGAGAACATATTGATCCCATTTTATAATATACAGTTCATCAAATATTTTTCACATACATACAAATTATATATTTTCATGGATACGGCGAACTCGAACCGGAGTGCGTCGAACTCTTAATCTGTTTTTTTCTCTACCATGCCAAATAATGGCCACTTAACTTTAGAACGCAGGAAAGGATTTATTAAAATATTAATTTTACCGCAGAGGCTTACACTTAGGGTGAAAATTAGGCTACAAGTATACTCGGTCGAGCAGCAGGAAATAAGGAAATAAGCAAAAGAACATTGTTGCTGAGCCTTCGTTGAAAGTTTTTTTTATTTTAAATTTATAAATACTGCCTTTATTACACGTATTGTTGGTACTACATACAGCTAAACTATTTTTGGGAGAATTACAAAAAGTATATAGTTCAACAATATTAACTTGGTATTACTAATATATATATCAAGCAAACAAGGGATAGTCCTCAGAGTTATTAGTCAAAGGACATGCGGGGCACTAAAGAGAACTATGAATTTTCATTATTTTAAAAGTTGGCATCAGCTACAGTTAAATATATAACATCTTTTTATCGCTTAAATCTTATTCTCTTCGAAGGGACGGGGACCGATGGTTAATGACAACAAAATTCTATTGAAACTTATATATTTCGTCCTTCGCCTGTTATATCCACTTGAGCACGGCAAGCGCAGTTCACATTAATGCTCGAGGTTCTTTGCAGAAAGTAATTTTTACATGGTATCCCGAACATTCTGGATTCCTCTTTAAACGTAGACAACATTTACGAAAGTAGTCACTTTAATATACTGTAAACAAACTAACTTTACTTATACATATTAATTAAAAATTGCTGCAAAAAATTATACATAAAAAAGATCTTTTCTCTTTATTAAAAATTTACATAACTCTTTTATTTATACAAAAAACATTGTTGGTGCTATACTAAAAATTTATTAAGGTTCTTCCTTTTAAAATCAATCTGGCTTTATATCGAGAACCTCGCTATCATCTTTATAGTACTTGTTAATAATTTTTTCAATTTTACTGTAATTAGAATATTTTAATTAGTATAATAAAAAATTTTAGTATTAATAAAATATTACTTTCCGCCAGTAATATCCACGTCTCGTGCCCAAGTGAAATGCATTAAAGCTCTATAAGTAAGTATTATATATGATTGAGTATAAGGTTTTAATAATAGTTATACTTATCTGTAAGCCCGAGCTTTTTATATACTTTTCCTTTAAGAAGGTAAATAGAAGGTTCCTGTGGCGTAAGTTCCAACAGTTTATCCAAAATATCAAGAGCAGACTTTGATAAAAATGAAAAAAAAAGTTTCTGCGTCAAAAAAAGCTCACTTCCAACCTGGTGGTGGCCCCTTTCCGTCATGAGTTCCGCCTTTTTATAAAGAGCCAATGCGTTTTTAGGGTCTCTCCTTAGCGAACTATTGTAGGCCGATTTCGCTAGGAAGGCCTTTTCTTGTGCAATCCGTGAAGCATTTTCAGCTACGCACTCTCGCAGTTGAGCGTGATATGCCTGTTTATAAAAAGTTTCAGAAAAAAATTTTAAACTTTTTTATTATAAAGAAAATCTAAAATTGTAGGTTTCATATAAAGTTTGATAATAATAGGAAAGGGGGGGAGGGGGTGAACTTTATAATGTTTAAAGATTTGCTATAAAAGAGTAACAAAAAAAAATAACAAGTTAAGAAAAACTTTTTTATAGAAATAAACACCATTCCGAGATAACAATAAAGCACGGAATTGGCGCTATTTATTTCAATGGCCTTTTTAAAATGATATTCGGAGCCAGAATAATTCTCCTGTTGAAAATAAACCATTCCAAGACCGTACCTTCCAAAAAGTAATGATAATTATAATTAGTTGATTTTCACTTAAACGAATTATTTTTTTATTTTTATTGGAAAAACTTTCGCCTAAAAAACTTTACGTATACTATGTTTGTTTTTCTAGACGGACTAAATTGACACTGGAAAGTATGAAAAATTTAATGGCTCAATTTAAGATGAATTTGAAAGCTTTAATGCAAAAGGAGACAAAATGTTTTATTTTTAAAACACCCCCCACCCGCCGCCTCGTTCGAGGGCCCAACCAGGCGTTGTAGTGGCGGGGATCCAAGCGGACGGCCGTCTGGAAATGCGTGGCTGCCTTCGAAAGGTCGTCTACTGCGACGTATTCGTGCCCGAGAAGAGTATACGCGTAAGCAAAGTTCGGGTTTACCTTTTCATATAAAAATTATTAATAATACAAAATCTTTTGAAGAACCAAAAGTACTTGTATTGCTCTCTCCATAAACTTCAAAGCTGCCTCATGGTCTCCCTGCGCGCTGAAGCAGTTTCCTACCTGCAGTAGACAACCATACACGTGTTTTTTACACACACAGAAAAAGTAAACGCACCGCGCACCATGCTTCTGCAGAAAACTTCTCCAGCGCCACCAGGTCTCTCGCCAAAAAAGTGATTTCCTTCTTTTTCTGGAGATGCCAGAGAACCGTCGAATAGACGTCTAGCCCTTCAATTTGATAGGGCGCCAGTCTCCGCACTTCCGCATAAACGGCTTCCGCCTATAACGAGTTATAGACATATAAATAAAAAAATACACGTGATAGGCAAACTTAAACTTTAGAAAACTTAGTAGACTCCACATGCGCCCTGGCGACTTTGGAGAGTATAAGCCCGGTGTTGTACTGCGAGGCAGGGAGTTGCTGAAATATATTAATAGCCTCGTCCAGACGGTAAAGGCCGAGATTCAACGTTCTCTCAGAGTTAATAGAAAGTGAGTAAAAAGAATAAATAATAATAAGTAAATACCCTTCAACAATCACTAGAAGAAGGGCATCCAGCGAGTCGACCACGACGCCGGAAACCTCCGAGTCACATGGCGAATCGCGTGGTGTAGAGTGATGATATGATTGACTCAAGGCGGGTGCAGGGGACCACACGTTTTCGCTGTTAACTTTCTATAGAAAAAACAATCGAATGGAATAAGAGTAGTGCCCTTTAAGAAAGTAAATAACCAAAAGGTCATCGCTACTCGCACTCAACACTTCGGTACTTGTATTAGTAGTTGTACCAACACTTTTCCTATAGATTTGCTTGTCGTTTATTTTATTATTATTGTTATTATCGTGTATGGACGAACAAGAGCCAAAAAGAAACTTTCGGGGAACTCTGGATTCCGAAAACTGCTTAAAAGTAGTTACGAAGGTTTATTATGAGTAATTTTGTTTTTCATGAAAAATTATTGTATAGATTTTAAAAAAGATTTTATATTATAACCAAAATAATTATAAAAGTTATAAAAGCTGTTAAAAAATATATAAATTTTGCTATAAATTTTTTGGCTCATAAAAATTTACTATATTTAAGCTTTGCTTTAAAACCTAAACGCTAACAGTTCTAGCCGGAGCAAAATAAAGCTTATTCGGCTACGGTTAAGGAATCGGAAGCAATATATATATATAAGGAACCAAATTCACTCGTCTACTAGCAAAAGGCGCTTTATTTTTTTTGATTGGCTGCAAGGAAACTTTATCCTAAAAAAATCTTTTAGATTTCTTTTTTTAAAAAACTTTTATTATTAAAAATTAGAAAAACTGTACTCTAAATATTATATTTACAATAAATTAATTATAATAAAACTTGAATCTTTTGTTAATAAATTAAAAGCAGGAGAAATTTTATAAATAAAACATCAAAAAAATAATAAATCAAAAATTAAAAATTTAAAATTATTAATTATAAAAATGAAATTATAAAAACTAAATAATAAAGCAAATAGAAAAATTATTAATAACTAATAAATTAATTATAAGAATAAAATATAAAAAATTAATTAAAAATTAATACAAATTAAACTATTAATAAATAATAATTAATAGTAAAATAAATAATAAAAGTAATAAAAAATAAACTACTAATAATTAATTATTTAAACTATAATATAAATAAATTAAACTTTTTTACTTGTTAATTATTTAAAGCAAATCAACGAATTCCGATTAAATTTTTAAATGAACTTTTTTAGATAAAAAATTATTTCAAGTATAAACTTTAAACGTAACGAAATAAAATTAAACACAACCAAATCTACAATTTTTTAATAATTTATTTCCTTAAATTTTTTTACAAAAATCTAAATCTTAAAATTAAAAAAATTATTTCTAAAAAAAAAAAATTTACACAATTTTTTTAATAATTTACTTCCTTGAATTATTTTATAAAAATCTAAATCTAAAAAAAAAACTTAAAAAAAATATTATTAATTAATTTAAAATAAAAAATTAACTCTGAAAAATTTATTTCAAATTTTTAAACGATTTATTTAATTAACGTTATAAATTTTAATTAGAATTGTGAAATTAATAAAATTCTATAGAATAAATAATATAATAAATTTTGAAATATAAATTTTTAGCTGGAAAAAACCTTCATGGTGGCCGATAAAGGAGTTTTTAAAGTATTTTCGGATCTACAAAAAATTAATTGATTTCATAATTTATACAAATTAATAATTTTAGAGTAAAGTGCATTCCAGTTAAAAATAGACAACTTTATAGAGCTCAGCTTTAATAAAATTGTTATCTAATAATTTCATAATTTTTTTTTTCATATAATAAAATCTTAGAAAAATTTACATACAAGTATTATTTATTAACTTATTAATTAAAATACTTATCAAGTAAATAATAAATGATTTCGTTAGATAAAATTAATTTATGTGGAATTTACAAAAAATTGAAAAATAATTACAAGTTAATACAAAATATAATAAAAATAAAATTATAGAAATCAAATTTAAAAAACAGATCAAATAAAACCAAATTTAGTAGAATTTTTTAAAAATATAAATAACTATAAATTATAAAATAACAAAAATAAATATAATAGAAAATAATTGTTAATAGAGAAATCATCAAAAAAACAAAATTATTATAAAGTAATAAAAATAATTTGCAAGTTAATTATAAGCATATAAATTATAAACAAAAAAATAATAAAATAAATTAAATAGAACTTAAATTAAAAAATATTTATTGAGCAGTTGCAAACAAGTTTATTATAAAAAAAACATACAGACGAATGGCTTTGTCCAAAGAGGACTGCTGAAAAGGTATACTAAAAGAGTGAGCGCTCAAATTAGTACTCGACTTGTTATTCTTATAAAAATTACAAACGTTGCTTTTCCCTTAATGTTTATGTATTAGTGTCTTGAAAATAAAAATAAAAAAATAAATTAAATCTACGTATACCAAGATGGCAAAGTTGAAAAGCTGCGGGTAAATGGACACGTTCGTGCTTGAGACAATTTTCATAATCTAGACTAGCTTCAAGGGTCCTGCCTTCAAGGCTGGTATTAAAGGAAATCAGTATAGAACTCGCAAAAAAAAATTCAAGAATCGAAAGATTAAATTTTTTAAAAACAAAATAAATCACCTACATTTTAATTTCCCCTGCTAACTTATAACACAAGGAAAGCAAAAAGGAAGAATTTTTCGTTTCTTCATCTTCAAGTAAAGCAGTTAAAACCCGTTCGGCTTCCTACAAATAATAGGCATTAAAAAATTTTCTAAGTTAAAAAAATAACTTTATATATACTTATAATAACTTTTAAACGCGTTAATTTGACGCAGGTATAAGCAAAAAAGTATCGAGATTCAGGAGAAACGCCGGAATATAGCACTCTATATGCCTGTCCATATTTCTGGGAGCTCAGATAGCAAGAGCCAAGAAGGCGTAAGCTTTCTTCCGTGCGGACTAAGGTGAATAGTTATAATAATAAAAAAATACTATTAGCCTAAATTTTCACTAAATACACTATTTAAAACTAAAAAGATGGAATAACATGGTCATATTTATAGCTATTAAAAGTTCAATAATATACTCTTACTAAGGCTGCTTAGTAAAATTATAGTACTAAATTATAAAATTAGATCTAAAATTGAATAATTTCTAATAAGGATGGTTAATACTTTCAGCGTGGAGGATAGTAGCCAGATATATAGCGCTATCATACTGATAAAAATCAAGTAATAAGTGGCTTTTCTGAAACAAAAAAGCAACTGCCTCCTGATCAAATACACAATCTTTATAGGTAACCGATGGGATTCCTTGAGGAGCACAAAATGGAAGATTGCTCATTTTTCTTTAATAATATGAAGTGATATAAGAAAACTATTTAGCGGTAAAGCAGTGATAAGATGACGATTATAGTTGAAGAACAAACAAATAAGTTAATCTATTTTATTACTAATGCTTGTAATACAGCAAACTCGCCCTCAAATGGAGTCGCACATTGAAACATCTGGAAAAAGTTCTTTTACTTTATTGGCAAGGTCGTTGTATTGGTCTTTCTACATGTATATTTATTATTTTTTTTCTTGCATTATTTGACGTTATTAGTACTAAGAACTTTACATTTTTCTTTTAAGTAGGAGTTTGTAAGTTACTCTAACATTATTTTCATATTTAAAGGCATAGATAATATGCACTGTTTACTATTCTTAAAAAGTTGTATGGTATGCTAATTTTAATAATATAGCACGTTTAGTGCATATTAATTATTTTACAGGGTGTCTACATTATATGAAGGATAATATTCAAAATTGCCAAGTATTTCATAACTTTTTATAAAGGAAGTTTGAATTATATTTATATAAATAAATTTTGAAGCTTGTTTTTGTTTTGGTAATCTACTATAAGGCGTCGTAACAATAGTTGTGTTTCTTGCTAGTTTGTGTTGCTTTGTAAATTAGGCTCTTTACTTATCTAAATTAATGCTGTAATTAGAAGATAAAATAATTAAAAAATTAATAGTATATCTTTATAGTTATATTAAAAAAATTTTTTGTCTTAAATTGTAGAACATTAACTAAAAGTCTATTTAATATTGTTATATTTGAAAAATTAAAAAGTTTGTTGAATTATGTTTTTTGAAATATCCCAAGGGGGTGTGTTTTAAGTTTTAGCTTTATAAGAGGCGAGTTCTAAGGAAGCAGTGACTTTTTTAAAAGTTGGGAATCCTGTTAATAAGATTTTAATTAAGTAGTTGAAACTTTCCATCACGATTATAATGGAAAGCATCTGACATTTTTTTAAAGTACTCCTTTTTCTCCATAGATAGAACTATGTTTTGTTTTTAAAGAAAAATTAGTTTTTAGCTATATGATTTATAAAAGTAGAAATTAGAGTTTTTATTAATTTTAAAAACAATGAATTGTAGTTGAGGCTGATAATTTAGGTCTCCCGTTGGGTAAATTTTATTCCATTTTAACACTAATGGTTTGCGATCCCACTATGCATACCGTACTGATTTATTAATTTACAAACACTTGGATAGGCTAAATACACATGCAAGGAAGTCTTTGGAAAAGTAAATAATATGAGTGAAGGAGAAGAACAAAAGTCCTATACTAATTTAAGAAAAAATTCCAATGGTGGCGCCTTTGAGTAAATAACATTTACGGGCCTATGGGGGCCTGTAATTTCTCTGATTTAAATAAAATTATATTTTTTTAATACGTCCGAAAAAATAAAAATAAGTGATAGAACTAAAAAAAATACATCTTAAGAAAAAATTTTACAAGGTTAAAGATTTAGCATCCTGCTTACTTTAGATGACGTACACCGATATTGGTCCTATTAATATATATTTTTGTTTACAGCAAGTCTTTAGATTAAGTTATAAACATTACTCATTCTTTTTCATAACTGTCGCGAATTTAGATCTAAGCTAAACGATTGTTTATAAAAAACTGACCTTTAATTACACAATTATCATCTACGAAATTGAAGAAAAAAGGGGAAGAATATATCAGAAGTGTTACGGCGCTTAGGTCAAAATGTTAAGAGAGCAGGACGTTTAGGGCTTCTTTTACCTTTAAATCTTTAGTAACCAGGAACATTTTCATAGTAAAGACAAAATTAAGCATTTGAGGATGTAAATGAATACATTTCTCCCTTCTAAAGAATTATATAATAAAAGGGATGAAACTATTTTTTTTCTTAAGGTAACCTATTCTGCAACTACAGCATAAAAGTGTTATTTTTTTTGTCAATGGGTCGCCAATTGCAATAGCTTATTATATCTATTGTTGATTTTATAGACTGTGAGCCCCCGAGAACTTGATATAATAGACAGTAAAGTAATAGCATAAAGATAGTATAAAATATAATATTTATTTGATTATTATAGACCCCTTAGGCGCATTAAACAAAACTGTTCGACGAACAAAGCAAAGCAATATTGCAACCCGTGAACGAGTCAAATTTATATAATTACATATGAACTGCCCTTGGAGACCGCCACTGTTATAAACACGCCAACTATATCAAAGATAATAGTTAAAATGAAGTCACCTAGTAGTTGACTTGTACAACAGCAGGACGCGATAGGAGGGGAGGGCCGCTCAAGAAACTGCCAATATATTAGAATTACTAGGTTTAAAAGTTTGCGAGTAGTTTTTAAAGACATCTGGTATATTAACAATTTTATAATCAATGGGTAGCTCAAACGGATTTATTAAACCTTAGGACCTTTTCCACCGAATCCACCTATACATAGTGGCAGATGAAACAGTTTCTCCTTTTAACAAAGCGTATTATTAAGGCTTTGGAATTATTCACCCACGTAAATATTGTTACCTAGTTTCTCTAAGTTTATATTGATGGCATTTGACCTATAACCCGTAAACCCCTTTATCTGGTCTCGATCTCGTTTAAACTTTTATCCGTAATATTTAAATGTATACCTATCTGTATCTGTAACCTTTTCTACGACAGTTGGCCTCAAACAACTCTCGCTTCAGGCTTTAGAATTTTTTAAGAATTAAATTACGTTAACTATGATGATGGGTGGCAGAGACTTCACGTACCTATCATAGTATCCTTTTACTTTCTTTCCATAATGTCTTTGCTTCTTTTAAGGTGACCTAAGTCTATTTTCAAATATTATTTCTTAGAAAAGCGTATTTCCTATAATTTTTTATATATAAGCTTATCTAAGTGACGTTTCGTTAGCTTTCTTATATCAACATTAAAAAAAGTAAATTACAAAAGTTATAAGTAAATGTGACGAGTATAATGTAAACTTAAGCAGGTTAGTAATAATTAAATATTTTACAAATCATTTTTAAGAGTGCGCGTACTACACAAAAGTTTTTTTACCAAAAAATATTAATTATTCGCGAGTATTCCCTTCTTAAAAATAAGTTGTTTAAAGAAATTAAATTGGTATGAAAACGTTAAAAAGAAAATCGGTCTTTTTTATTCAGTATCTTGTTGAGTTTTGAAACAATTTTAACTAGCGAAAATTTAACCTAACCTAACAAAAATTTATATAAACTCAAAGAAAGGGACGGCTTTAATTACTTTATTGTAACTGAGTATAGAACATTTAGTTATCAGCAATTATTCCTACATTAAATACATGGTGTACAAAAGTTGCTTTATTCTACAAAGTGTAAAAAAGTTAAAAAGACTAAACATTAGTATTAGTATTTACAATTAAAAGTAAAACTTTTTTTTTTACAAAAGTTTACGATGGAAAAAGAATTAATCCAATTGTGAATTTTTAGTCAATTAATATTTAATTTTCATGTTTCTCTCTTTTGCGGCAGGGAAATGGTAAGATTATTAACCTATAGAAAGCGCAAGATAGGCAAAAGCCAATGTGAAATTAAGCGCCATAAGCGAAAGATAATATTTTTAATTTAAAAGTAAAAAAACTATGTTCTGCATGTACTCCTACGTTAACAAATATAAATTATAAACATTGTTTGTCACCAATGTTAGACACTATATAATTTAGTGAACTGAAGTATAATGAACATAATTCAGTAGATAAACTAATTATATTTTCCTTTCATTAGACCAGCGACGCTACTAAACGCGAGAGAGGGCAAAAGAACTATCACACTATAGAAGAAAAAATCTCTAAAGCTTATTTTATATATTTATAAAGTTGGCGTAATATAATCAGGCCAAAACCAGAGGAGGGTTCAAAATACTGATTAATCTGATTTATAATCTAGAGAGTAAGTCCACTGGATCTAGAAAAAGGACGTTAGAACAGTGAGGTGTCATAGTCTTCTATGTACCGTAGGTTATATTTTAAACCAATAAATCGTTGGGATGAGCTTAATATTTTTCAAAACCAACAAATAAAATTACAAAGATGAGGGAACAATAACACCAATAAATATAAATCTTAAAACAGAAAATTTAATTTAAAAAAAAAATTCCAAAACCTGCAAGACTGAAAAAAACACGGAAGGAGATACGATTTAGATAAGAAAGAAAGTGTGTGAATGCCCAAATAAACACACAATTGATATAAAAAAAAACCCACCATTGGGCCACAAAAAGGACTAGTTGAAATCTAAACCTTCCAAGAAAAAGGCCATTAGTTAACAGCGGTACTAAAAATATTAAAGTAAAAAGTTAAAACAAGAAGAGTTTGACAACGTTAACATTAACTTGTTAACATATAATGAAGCTAAGATTTTATTA